AAACTCTGCCACCCGCATTCTCACCGCCCCAAGGCTCTAGAACTCCCTTCCTCTCCCTTCGTCTCTTCCCACTTTCAGTCTCGACTGAAGACCTTTCTTTTTGATCACGCCTTTGGTCACCTTCCTCCCCCTCCCTCTGGTTCGGCCCCGGGATCTGTACTGTGAAGCGCTCTGAGACGCTGTCCGGCATGGAGGGCGCTATATAAATCCAGGTTGTTGTTGTTGTTACCACCCAGTATCTGTCCATCTCTTTTTAAAGAATCCCTATTAATTTCACCTCTACAGCTTTCTGGGGCAGAGCACTCCACACCTTTACAACCCTCTGGGTGAGGAAATGCTCCCTGACCTCAGTTATAACTGTCTTGGATCTGATTCCATGGCCTTGAAATGGACTCCTCTACTAAAAGAAAGTGTTATGTACTATCTTACCTGTAAATTCATTATTTTAATTACCTTAATCAAATCACCCCTTAACATCTTTTTTAAGAAATAAGGAACATAGCTCAGTCTACTCAGCCACTCATTTAGTTCCTCTCTTTAAGTCTGGGAATAGCATACATGGCTCTCAGTAGTTATGTTTGGGACCTGCACTGATCTGTGCAGTATCCGCAGTGTTGTCGGGCTATTTGCAGTGAAAATTATAGTCAAGCCCACTCCCAATCTTATCCGACATTGACAGACACACTTTACAGCAGGGGACACAGGCAATCATTCAGACTAGTTACCCTGGTTGATTTTCCCAAGAGGCCAACTACAATGTCCCCTGGTGTCGACTCAGCTGGAGATCAGCTAACTGAGTGTAGGTCAGGCATCTGGTACCTTATCTAAACATTGGTATCTTATCAGAGTGTTTGCAGCACAAGAGACATTTCAGCCCATAGTGTCCATACTGTGTCCAAAAGTGAGGATCAGGATCTTGAACTGTATCCTCTGTGTGATGGGAAGCCAGTGGAGTCGGATGAGGATCAGGGTGATAGGGTCGTGCAGCCTGGTGCGGGAGAGGACATGGGAGGAGTTGGGGAGGCCGACCAGTAGGAGGTTTTTCGTAGTCGAACCTGGAAGTTATAAATGCGTGTATGAGGGTTTCGGCAGCCTGCGGTGTGAGACAGTGGTGGAGCCAGGCAATGTTGCGGAGGTGGAGGAAGGCAGAGTGGATCATGGCACGGATGTGGGGTAGAAAGGATAGTTGTGGGTCAAACAAGACATCGAGGTTCCAGACTGGTTCGGTGAGGTAGAGTGTGCATCTGTGGATGGTGAAGCTGTCAATGCCTGAGGTGTGGAGGCGCTGACAGGAGTCAATCAGGAGGATCTCAGTCTTGTTGATGTTCAGCTGCAGAAAGTTAGCTCTCATCCAGGACTTGATGTCTAACAGACATTCTGTCAAGACAGCAGGGGTCCTGGAGTCGAGGGTGGATGCAGAGAGATAGAGTTGGGTGACATCCGCATGTGGAAGTTGATCCCATGTTTGCGGATGATGTCACCAAGAGGGAGCATATAGATATTGAAGAGGAGGGGACCAAGGACAGAGCCCTGAGGAACGCTGCACGAAACGGTGTGGCGGCTAGAGGAAAAGCCATTTGTGAAAATGAAGTGGAGATGGTGTGAGAGGTAGGACCTGAAACGTTGAACAACAACAACAACAAAATTACAATTGTATAGCACTGTTCATGTCGGGAGGACGTCTCAAGACCCTGGTCAGTCAAGAGTTTTGGACTAGAGCTGGGGGTCAGGATTATGGAGGCAGGGGGAGAAGCGGGGTGATTGAAAGCACGGTCGAAGAGGAAAGTCTTGAGATGGGTCTTGAAGGAGGCAAGGGAGAGGGCAAGACCAAGGGACTGCGGGTTGGGCAGAATGCCAGAAGGCCTGCCCGCCAATGGTGGGACGGGCGAGGCGATGGATGTGAAACAGAGGGTGCAGGATGGTAGGGGGTTAGGAGGTTGCAGAGGTAGGGGGGAGCAAGACCATGGAGGGCTTTGAAGGTGAGGACCAGGATCTTGAACTTTATCCTCTGTGTGATGGGAAGCCAGTGGAAGGACAGAACCATGAAGGTTGAGGTGAGAGGAGAGGAAGTGGAGGAGGATAGAGTGGGCAACATTATCTAAGGCAGCAGAGAAGTCAAGGAGGACATGGAGCAGAGGGAGCCCTGGTCGTAGATGGACAAAATGTCATTTGTCACTTTGACCAAAGCTGTTTCTGTGCTGTGGCCGACACGAAAACCCGATTGGAAGGGTTTGGGAAGGGAGTGGCGGGAGAGGAAGGAGCGAAGCTGGGAAACAATGACTCATTGCAGGACCTAAGAAAGGAAAGTTGGAGATGGGGCGGTAGTTTGAGAGCAGGGATGGGTCCAGGGAGGGTTTTTTTTTAAGGATAGGAGTGATGACGGTCGTTTTTAAAGGGGCGGGCACGATGCCAGTGGACAATGCATTACTGCTTTCACCAATACTGCACCTTCCACGTCAGAGGACGACTCAAAGGGCTCAACAATGATGGATGGGAACCAAGTTGGGGGTGGTAACCAAGGGAGGTTTGGGGAGGGGAAAGATGACCGATATACGGGAAAATTGTAGCAACTCAACTGCTACCCTGGCTGAGATCAAGAAATTGAGCACATACTGGGCTTCAAACCATCGGCAATCTGGTCATGAGGTATCAGTGCTCCAGCCTTTACTCATTTGGCTTTCTCTTCTATGTAAACCAAGCGGATTTGTTTGCTATTACAGAGTATCATGTCCTGACAGAATATGTAGCCAAAGTTTCCCGCTGTTCTGTGTGGACTTTAAAAAGAACATGTACACTCTCCATGTTCCACTGCTGTGCATCTCTCTCTCTCCCCCTCTGTCTCTTCAAACCCAGTCTGACTTCACTCTCTCAGCACTTGCAGCTAAGATAAGGAAATCTACTGAGTGATCACAGTCTGATGGCCAAGTCAGATTACAAGCACCAAGGTCCAAACAGAGAGAACGACTTTTGATCAAAGTAACAAGAGTTTAGTGCAACCGGCTGCAGCTTCTCCAACTAGGAATTGGAAAGCCAGGCCTGTCAGCAGGGAAGCACGTAGTATCTTACAACACAAAGATGGCTCTCAGTTCATCTGTCAATTAACTGCTTGTGGCAGCTGAACCTCCCAAAGGTCAGTTAATGTCTGTGATTCTCGACAGGCCAGTAAGTTTCTCGACCTTGGAAGTGTGACCTTATAATGGGAAAAATTCTATTATAAACTCAAGCCACCAGAGTCGGTGGATTTACCAACAAACGGAATCAGCCCGCCTACTAAGGATATGACATTTACTAATAATTAGCGAATCACCTCCGCGGGACTCTCACAATGCCACTGTCAGTGCACCGTCATTATCTACTAACCCTCAAGTATAAGTGTCTTGCTTGAACAAAGAAGGAAAGTCATGTGGGTCTGTTTTTGCACATAGATTACTGTTACAGGGAAATCACACTAACTGCTGCGGCATGAAATAGATTTGTGAAAAGCAAGTGGTTAAGGGATGTGGTCATATATGGGTTAGCCAACTCTCAGAAAGGGATATGCGTGTTAGCTCCTTTTGTCCTTTTCATGTCCTAAAAGCTCTTGTGTTCTTATCTGGAGGCCTTGTAATTGTGCACTTCAAAAGATACTTTGAAGAATGTGGTCCAGATTGATAGTTCCTAACAAATCCAGTCCAGCGCTAGACTGAAGATTTTCAGGCTGCAATAGTCCTTTTTTCTCCCCTTGGAGGAGGGGGGAAGGGGTGTTGGGGAGATGGCAAATAATCAAGACCTTTGTCTCTTACATGGAACAGATACAGAGTGACCTTGTCATAGGCACCTACTTCAGTTAGCACTGAACCGCTTATAGTGCTGGAGCTTCTAGTATAAACCTATTACTTCTGGCGCTCGATAGCCAACTTCCCACAGTAAAAACTGAATGACAGCAGCAGCACTTCCTGTGCATAGTTTCTCATGTTTGGTTTTAACGTGGGGGTCTGAGTTTATGGAACCAAACCATAATGTTATTAATATGTTCTCTTACGTGCTTTGGTCGGGTGAATATATTTTATTAGAGGTTTTATATGAATGTGTGAAAGGCACAGATGTCTTTCTTAACGCCTTTGCTCCAACATTTTCCCTTCCCTGAGTTTAATTGGCTCCCTCAGTATCCAAATTAAGAATCCATGTCTATCTGAACAGACAACATCAATGAAAGTCAAGGTGGTCAAAAAATGTGAGACTGAGATTCCCCACTAGATATCAGCCTTCTTTCACCTTCCCACACCCCCATCACCTCACTGGGATTGGCAGATTTGACCCAGCAAAGGCTGAGTTGCTTTCAGTGCCTGGGACGTCCTCCCGACGTGAAAGGCGCTGTACAAATGTAATCTTGTTGTTGTTGTTATCTGATATTTAGATTTGAGCCATGGAGTCTACAGGCCACCCCCAATTGGAACCATTGAGTCAAGAGCACAGGAACTTGAGGGCAGTTGGGAGGTGGAGGCACTGCCTATTTGAAGCAAAGCTATTCCCTGGGGTGAACATTTTCTCTGTCCAGTGATAATAGTATTTGCACTCACTCAAGTGTAAATAAATAATATCACGTCAAAAGTCATTGATGCACAAAGCACATCTGAGAAAGAAATGGAGCCTTTCAATGATTGCTGCAGATTGTTCACATGCTTTCGGGAATCACATTGGCAGGTGGCTGCAAAGTTGTCTGTTTGTTGTTTACTGATAACTATGTTAGACTTTTGCAGCAGTTCTTGTGGAAGAATTACAGACTTATTCACAAACCTCATGCAGTTGTTTGAACACACTGTGTAAACAGTTACTGCTGGCTTTGGAGCATAGATATTTGCTAAAATATCCATTGAATAATATTCCATCTAAACTAATATCATCCCTGACATTCTCCTGACTGTTGCTTGTGAGCTTTAAGTGACATCACCATTTGTCATTGTTTTTTTCCAACTATGTTTATTTCATTAACAGATGATCTTTCTTTGTGTTTATTTCAGGCGTGTGCACACCGTTGGAAGAATATCCACTATCAGTCTGAACATATCCTGCCTCATGGAGCCTGCTACATCATCCCACCCAATCTGTACCAGAATACAAAAGAGCTGCTCCCCTGTTATCAAGGTGAGGGTCAATTTGATGCAAGGAAGGAGTGAATGAGCTTTGCTGAAGTACACCTTGGCTTTACAAGATGGAGAGTGTGGAGAGTCAGAGAGAGGTTGTCAATTGTACCCAATTGAGTGAGTAGCTGATGGGTAGCTAATCTTTCTAGCTGGTGGTCAGTACCAGAGCAGTACTGAAGCAGGCCGTTACCTTGTCCTCTTAGTCATCTGGTGTCAGAAGACTAAAAAAATAAAGGGAAGAAAATATAGATTAACTCTTCTTCCCCTCTCCCCCCTCATAATGTGAATTGTCTGCCTGCACAGTTGCTCAACCACATACACAGGGGTCTGACTTAGATTGTGATTGAACTGTTTTGCTGCAGAGAAAGTTCTGCAGAAAACGGGGTCTAGTTTGCAATGTTCACAGACTGGGTGGATGTGAAATGAATTGCCTGTTGAGGGGTCAGAATAAAATTGTTCTTGGCTTTCTGCTAGCGGCTACGTACCCTATGTCTGGGGTGGAATGTGTGCTCTTTCCCTAGAGAGGTGCTTACCTCATTTCGGAGAGCATTACAGCAACAATATGCAATTATAGCAACAACAACAACTTGCGTGTACATAACCCCCTTCCCCACGCAAGGTTCCCCCAAATTTCCCAGTATAAAAAGAGAGGGCAATCTTTAATTGGAAATGAATAAATCTTGCCATTGCAAAATAAGTGATTTGATACAACAGAACTTAAAGCAAAGCTATCATGGTGACTGCTTTTGTTCGTGAATATTTGGTGCAGTGGTGTAAGCTCCTGACAATGTATCATACGTTTAATGGTAATTGGTATGGATACAACTCCACCAGTTTCTTCCTATAATAATAATCCTTGCATTTGATATAGCGCTTTTCACGTCGGGAGGACGTCCCAAAGCGCTTCACAGAACACACTGTAAAGTGAATTGACTGTATATTTGTGGGCAAACGCGGCAGCCAATTGCGCACAGCAATGTCCCACAAACAGTCGTAGATTGAAAATGACCAATTTATTATTGTTTTTGGTTTTGGAGGGATTATTATTAGGCGTGTGGAGTAAGGAAACTTGCCCAAGGTTTCGCCCTCTGCCTGGAATTGAACTCAGGTCTCTCGCTTGCAAAGCGAGTGCTCTAACCACTGAGCTACAGGACTATGTATAACAGACTAAGAGAAAAGATTTTGTGGGAAAGGAAGAACAGGGAGAGGTTGGGGGGAGGGCAGGGAGAAAGAGAAAAATAATCGCTTCCATTCATCAGTCAATTGTTTCTTTCCCTTTCCGAGCATGCACTCGGCAGACTATTTCCTCTGTTGTGAAGATGAACTAGGAAGCTGTTTGCAGACCTCCGACTCAGCCATTATGACTGCTGGAGGTGCCTAACTGAGATGAGGTTGTCCGTGCTCTCCCTGTGGAGCAATGGCTGGCCTGGGCTTGGCAGGAAATTGAATAATGTGTAATCTGTCAACTGGAGGAAAATCGCCTGTCTGGGCTTTGTTGGCTCTTTCCTGATGTGAGAGATTAAATTTGATGTGATCTCTGTCCGGGCTATCATTTGACCAGTTCAGAATTAAAGCCCAGTTCGTATGCGATCAGGACTTGGTACCACTATGTTTAGTTTGGCAACACTTTCAAAACACGAAAATGTAGTATAATTTTAAGACTAAAGGTCTTCTGGCAGGGGGGGAGGATGTGAGTGTGTGCGTGTTTGAGGGTGGGGGGAGAAGATGCGTGTCTCTGGAAATGGCCTGTCTCCAAGGAGAGATGCCTGGAAAACTGTCAGATCCGCAGCAATTGTTCACCAAGCCGGTCTGGCTCATCAACGAGATTAGGAGGTGTTGATATGTCCTTAAGTTGGGAGTCAAAACCCAAGGGACAGGGTGGTCACAGCCAAACAGGAAACAGAAAATGTTCCAGGATTTAGCACTGGTAATGTACATGGTTACTATTATTATGTTTTAGGGTGAGTTAAATTATGTGTTCCATAGTCTGCTGTACAGCCTGAAAAAAGAAAATCTCTAAATATAGGAATGGAAACTAAACTACAGTTTCCCACACAAGCTAGGTTAAGTGGCCAGTTGAAACGTATTTCATATTAAAGTACTCAATTAAAATGCATAGTACTTTCCTGTTTCCACCAAGCTAAGCAGGCAAAATACCAGGTCTACTACTTTGTCATTGCAGCCAGTTTCCTTCAAAATAGCCAACATTAATATTTCTATTACCAGTAAGAGGTGCATTGGGAAAGGAGTTTAAAGTAGCTCTTCCATTTGTCAAATTGATCTGGGTTTCAGGCATTTGAAATGCCAAAACTTTTGGCAACAACAGCAAATTACATTTGTGTTGTGCCTTTCAAGTCAGGAGGGCAGGCAGCAAGATACAGGCTAGGAGTTCCAGACACGTGGGAATACAAATATGATGTGATATTCATCACATATGCAGTATGTGCTGTGATACTACGTATGTGATTGCTCTGCTTTCCCCCACCTCCGCAACATCGCCCGGCTCCGCCACTGTCTCACACCGCAGGCTGCCGAAATTCTCATACGTGCATTCATAACATCCAGACTTGACTATGTAAACTCCTTGCTTGTCGGCGTCCCCAACTCCTCCCTCCATAGGCTGCAGACCATCCACAACTCTGCAGCCCATGTCCCCTCCCGCACCAGGCTCCATGACCCTATCACCCCCATCCTCGCCCGACTCCACTGGCTTACCATTACACAGAGGATACAGTTCAAAATCCTGCCTCACCTTCAAAGCCCTCCATGGTCTTGCTCCCCACTACCTCTGTGACCTCCTAACCCCCTACCACTCTGTTCGCTCCCTCCGCTCAGCGGGCTCCAGCCTGCTTCATGTCCCCCGCCTTGCTCGCTCCATCATTGGCGGGGGGGGCTGGCCTTCTGCCATTCTACTCTCACCCTCTGGAACTCCATCTCACAGTCCCTCCGCCTTGCCCCCTCCTTTGCCTCCTTCAAGACCCATCTCAAGACTTTCCTCTTCGACTGTGCTTTCCATCACCGTGCTTCCCCCACCTGCCCTCCACCCTCCCCAATCCCGGCCCCCAGCTCGGGTCCAAAACTCTGATTATCCAGCGCCTTGGGACGTCTTCCCAACATGAAAGGTTCTATACAAATGTAACTTTGTTGTTGTTGTGATAAATATTGCAGCACATAGCCCCCTCCTCCAAATTGTCTTCAATGACTTGCTAAAACTTCATGAACCAATGGTTGTTTTTTTTGTGTGCAGAATATAAGAAGACATACGGTGAGGAGCATGGTTCATGTCAGGCTGGGATAGCTGGCCACTTTGTAGAGGTAAGTCACCATTCTCTGCTTGTTCGTGAGGCCCCTACATGTTGTTGGGTACTGGAGTGCACTAAATTAATCTGTTCATCTCTAGGATGTGGGTTCACATTTAGTCCATAATAATGGCTCAATGCATGTCTGTTCTCAGCCCACATCTCTCCAAAAGTCGGTACAAAGTTGGCATTTTGAGGGCATGAGAATAGTTGGTGTGAAAATGTCCCAGTGGTATTAGGTGGAGATTGGGGATTATGCTTGTGGCAGAGCAGAGAAAGCTTTTCTCTCCATCTCTATAGCACATGCTGTGCCTAACTAGGAAGTGATAGATGCAATACAGAAATACACAAATGGGAAAATATTCTAGTCGAGTGGAGACAGTAGATAATGGAGTGAGGAGAAAGCAGGTCAAGAAGGAAGGGAGGTGCCAAAGCATGAAGGGATTTGTAGACGAGTGAGAGGATCTTGAAATTGATCCAATCTGTGATAACGAGCCAGTGGAGCCTGGCGAGGACTGGTGTGATGGGGGTATGGAGCTTAGTGTGGGTAAGAATGTGGGTGGCAGAGTTCTGGATCAGTTGTAGTTTGTGGGTAGTGGATCTGGGGCAAACGGCGAGGTGGGAAGTGACGAAGGCATGGCTAAGGGTTTTGGCTACCTCGGGAGGGAGGTGCGGTCGGAGACAGCCAAAAACAGTTCATTAAATGATCCAAAGTACCACATGTTAGCCCCCCCAAAAATGTAGTCACTCAATCCATGACTGTTTATGGGACACTGCTGCGGGCAATTGGCTGCCGCGTTTTGTGCACAAAATATACAGTCAATTCACTTCACAGTTTATTCTGTGAAGCGCTTTGAGATGTCTCAAAGACGTGATAAAGCGCTATATCAAACGCAAGGATTATTATTATCTCCATGCTGTTTAACAAGTGATCGAAATTTGGAAATTCCTTAACAACTGAATGGGAATTGTCCAGATGTGTCTGGGTGTTCCCCCAGCAATGTTCATAATGTCTATAGCATTGAAACTGGGTCACGCATTCAGCTTTCCGGCTTAATTTTTGCTTATGGAAAAAGCCACTTGCTGGCAGGCAAATGTGGACGTGGATTCATAGACTTGGCATTGAGAATAATGTCAGTGTGAGCAGGGCACATCCAGGTAATTTATCTTCGAGACTAAAGGAACGTCTAAATTCAGACCACAACGTAGCTCTCAATTATTCAGAATTGTGGATAAATTTATCTACTTTGACAGTGTAATTTATTAAGGGGATTTCTCCAATGTAAACCGCACCCAGTCATGAAAACTCCTTACGGATAGGAGGAAAATAATCTCCCCTCATTCCCCCTGGCTGTGTCAATTATTATTTGATTAAACTGAGTTGCTCATTCAACGGGCTGAAAGAATTTAAAATGAGCTTGGTTTTGTTAACATAGTTTGAATCATCTTGAAAGGTAGAGAGCGGGGGTGGGGCGGGGGGCACTGAAATGGGGTGAGTGTGGGTGTCTATTAAGCTACGGCGTATTGCAGGAACAATAGGAAAATGTATTGAGAAGTCTTTTCCTTTGTCTCCTCCTCTCAATGACAACCTTTTGGAGGAGGCCTTTTATTGTTAAATCATTTTGAATACTGCAAGTCTTTTGGTGCCTATGTAATACACACATGCTTTCCATCACCTAACAGCTGCAGAGAGGTTTACTGTGGGTTTCAAATGGCTACAATAAAGTTTTTCAGTGCTTTCAATAGCATGACGCAGAAAATAAATCTGGGTATTTGCTTTTCGTGTTAACTTTAAAGTGGTACAGTTGCCCTGCCTGTCAGTGGCATAGTGGATAAGCTGATATAACGCATCGGCAATTTTACAAGTGAGCCTTGACCATACTTGTTCTCTGTTTGGGACATCGATGAGCCACGTGTCCACATGCTACATAGGACATTCCACAGCCATCTGTACAACAGAACGGCTACTTGTATTGCCTTGATAATGAGCTGTGGGCTGCAAAATACAGAATGCCATGTGATAATTGTCACATAATGGAACACTTTAAAGTTGCATTAAATTGGGACTTTGTGACCTGGCATTGAAATGCTATGATCCAAGATTCAAAGGCACCATGGCTGATCGACTCAGTAAGAGCAGTAAGTAGGTTCAGATAGAACCATTTGAATAAAGTTGGGGGCACTCTTCAACAACATGTCCACTGTTGCAAATTAAAGCACAAGATGAGGTTCCCCCGAGGGCTCAATGTGTTTATTGAGTGAGTTATTCAGCTGTACAGACAGGGAAGACCCTGTGTTTGTTCCCGCAGTCTGTGCTGATTAACTGATCTCAGGCGGGGGTGGCACAGAGCACAGACTTGAGGGAGGAGCAGAAAATCCAATTGGACCTCTCGTTGACTCCCTAGCAGATGGTTAGACGGCTGTGTTGGCAGCAGAAGTCTGCACAGAATCCTTGCATTGGAAAGGTGTGTTCAGCTTTCTTAAAAAGAAACCAGCGTTTTGTCCACAAAATATACAGTCAATTCACCTTACGGTATATCCTGTGAAGCATTTTGAGATGTCTCACTGATGTAATAAGGCACAAGGATTATTATTATTTTGATTCTTAATTAAGAATGAATTCTAGAATATCCAAAATACTGTGAAGTCTTACATTTTAAGAGAAAATGGTCTTGTAGCTAAGATCAGGTGGAGTTTCACGTCTCCAGTGACCATGTGTCCAGCATTTACTTTTATCATTGCTTGATAAGAACACCTACAGATCACAGCAACGTAAGATTACACAAACACTGTGATATGGGGGGGAGGCGAAGAGGTCTCATTTACGGGATCATAAAGGGGATTAGATGTGAATATCTGAGCTGTTTCCGACATCTTAAAAAAAGATAAACTTGAATCTGTCTGCAGAAAAAATGGCAACTATTTGATCTTTTATTTCCCAGACTCGAGCACCATTCAGGATTTATAATTAGCCGTTTTTAGAATCTCATTAATCAACTACTTCTGATTTATAGAATATTAATAATAATAATAATACTTGCACTTGACACCGTTGAGACATCTCAAAGTGCTTCATAGGATATTCCTTAAAGGCGAAATCACTGATTTCAATTTGAAACCAATGCTAAATCAATGGAACTGGTGATTTTCATAACCAGTCTGGGTTACATGAATCACAAAGTCCATATCGTACTTGGATTTGCATATCAATGTAAAATTGTATCTTATCTAAAAATATTTTTGAGGATTATGGGAGAGGGAGAAAACAAAATGGCAGCTAATTAGAACTAAATAAAAAACACTTTTTAAAGAACCAGGGCAGACCTGATGGGTTGAATGGCCTTCTTCTATGCTGTAAATTTCTATGGTTCCATCAGAGGTCATGTACCAGACACTTAATTTTCATTCAGTTATGCTAATAAAGTATATTAATAAACAATGGAAATCCTTTCTGGTCTGTCATGACATCTAATCTGGGAAAGAAATCGGGTTAGCTAGGTTAATAATATATCTGAAACTATAATTTCGTTCAAGGCCCAGAGGTTTTGGGAAGTGTTGGGAAGTGATGAATAGACCATCTGCTCAGGCTGCTTTACTACAGAATGCTGCAGAGGCCAAAAATAGTGCAAGGCAAATGTTTGTAAAATATTTTGTAACTTAACGGTTTCAGAATGATATGTTCGTTTCCACGCAGCTTTGGCTTCCTCCATCACAGGTTGTGTTAATAATTTTGCGTTTGTTGAAATAAAAGCTGTTGTGGGTTATCTTTTCTTAATATTAAATTAAAAGTGGTGGGAATTTGAGCTTGCTGTCATTGGGTGGGTAAGGTTAGAGGCAGGAAACAGCTGGAGCATGTCATTGACGGGAGCAGTGAACCACTTTCGTCACCTGCCCGCCCTGAACAATTGGACATCTGCTTCCTCTTCTCAGCCCTGCCGGAAAGCTTGGCTACAATACTGTTCACCTGCAGCAAAAGCAGCCAGAATAGAGGGGCAGAACCACCGCCACCCTTCATAATGAAATGCCAGTCGTAAACCACTGACTGACGCTGCTACTTGTTGACATGTGATTTGAAGATAGTGTGAGGATTGCTTTTTTTTCCCCTCACCCTCTCCTCGGTTTTCTTTTTCCTACCCTTCGTCATGCTCAGGCTCCCAGTTAACTATATGAAGATGTCCTAAAATGAAAGGCACTGTATATATGTGAATTGTTCATTCAGTAAACTAGGTGAATGGCTGAAGCCCGTAGTAGAGGGCAGGGATGGCTGCAAGTTGGCCTTTCCTGGTATAGAACATCACCACGATCACAGAGTGTGAGCAAGGCAAGGGGTCTGTGCTGGCTGGATGGTTGGCTGGTGAATCTTTGTTTTAATAGTAAAACATTGGAGCTCGACCTGTGAACAAATAGGGGTGAATTTGTAATATTATGGAGGATAGACAGGTGAATGGGACTGAATGTTTGTTCTTTCAAAGAGCCACCACAGTCTTCGTGGGCTGAATGGCCTTTTTCTTTGTTATGTCGTTCATTCTATGCCTTTTGGTATTTTTAACATTATGGTTGAAATTAGTGACGTTTCATAGCGCATTCAATGAGATAATACATAGAGCACCACATGAAACACCACAGGTCATTCAAACCTTGCCACTAGCTCAATTACGTCCCCCTTCTCGCGCCCCCTCCCCTCCACCCTCTCCACACACACACACACAACCTGTCTACCTGCACCGTTTTTGCAACGCTATGGCACCACCATGAAAATGCAGGGCGCTGAGCCTGGTGAAGGCCTGATGTATTACAGTACAGTAGAAAAGGATACTGACCAAGTGATCTAATAATCATCAAATCTATTGGGTGGTGAAACGCTATGAATTCACCCCTTCCATTTGTGACCTGCTATAAGATTTTCTGGACCTCACCGATCAGTGGACAAAAAAAGGAGAGAAACATTGTTGTTCTAGTTTGTGGTACGACTTGACTGGGTTCCTCAATACTGAGTTGTGCAATACTGTCGACAGTTCTTCCATGTAGAGGTCCCTGACCCCTAGGAGCCGAGCCTGAACTCCAAACACCCCCACCCCCGCCTGATCTACTCTCTGACCCCGAGTTGACGGATTATTAAGGAATCCTGTTAAGAAATACTGTAAATTAGACAATGTTGACGGCCCGAAAGTTGCATTCTCTGTGTGAAAATCCTGGAGACTTCACACGTGTCTTACATTGCAGGATCTGGTAGTGATGGGGGCACCTGGGTCCTATTACTGGACTGGCACAGTCAAGGTCTACAACCTGAAAGACAAGAAGTATTACAACTTTAAGGATTCGACCGCAGGTTCCACTCGCTACCGCTATCTAGGTAAGTGTGAGTTGGGTGGAAATGGCTTGAAAAACAATCACAGGATAATAAATACTAATTGTTGCATTTGACATAGTGCTTTTCACATAGTGAGGATGGCAAAGCACTCTGAGACGCCGTCCAGAAGGAGGGCGCTATATAAATCCAAGTTGTTGTTGTTGTCTGAAAGCGCTTCACAGGATATACTGTGAAGCGCAGTGGTTTGGTAGGCAACTGCAGCAGCCCATTTGTGCACAACAATTTCCCATAAGCAGCCATGAAATGAATGACCAAATTCTATTTGAGGTTAGGATTAGAGCTGGCCAGGACACCAGGAAAAACTCCCTTCTCTTTTCAAGTAGTACCATGGGATCTTTAATATCCACCTGAACAGGGAGATGGGACCTCAGTTTAACATTACTGCAATGGAGTGTCAGTTTAGACTACATGAGTTCAACATCCCGATGTGGGGCTTGAACACACAACCATCTGACTCAGAGGCAAGAGTGTTACCAACTGAGCCAGGCTGTAGTAGACATGGTTGGAATTTTACCCTCAGGCATTTGTTGGTGTTTGCCAGAATTCAGTCACATTTACATTTATTAGCGAAATATGGAGTCTTGTAGCTCAGTGGCTAGAGCACTCACCTCGCAAGCGAGAGACCTGGATTCGATTCCCGGCAGGGTGAAACCTTGTGCAAGTTTCCTTACTCCATACGCCTGATGATAATCCCTCAAGAAAAATAATAATTTGGTCACTTCAATCCACGACTGTTTGTGGGACACTGCTGTGCGCAATTGGCTGCCGTGTTTCACCCACAAATATACAGTCAATTCATTTTACAGTATATTCTGTGAAGCACTTTGAGACGCCTAGAAGACATTAAAAAAAAAGCACTATATCAAATACAAGGATTATTATTATTATATGGAAGTTGCAATTGATGTAATAACTCCCTGTTTCCAAGTATAGCCCCCCCCTCCCATTCATTGGATAAACAAACAGGGCCTGTGGACAAGCACAGTCACATTTTGGTAACAGCTAAAGGATTGAGATTGTCTCAGCCGCTTTAGTTACCCTGAGTTGGGGAGAGGGGAAGGTGAGGTTTCACAAGTGAGAGACCTGGGTTCGATTCCTGGGCAAGTCGAAACCTGAGACAAGTTCCTTCCTCTACACTCCTTGGTTTATCTATCAGTAAGTGGGAACCCGGTTGTTACTTGATTGGCGGATCACTTTTCCGCGGATAATAAACCCTTCAAAAATAAATGAAAAATAATAATAATTTGGTCACTCAATCCACGACTGTTTGGCAGACACTTATACTAACAAAGTTTGTGCTGCTGCATTTCCCCCCAAAATATAGTTAATTCACTTTACAGGATATTCTGTGAAGCGCTTTGAGATGTCTCGAAGATGAGATAAGGTGCTGTATCAAATGCAAGGATTATTATGTTACTAAAGTGGCCACCTTCCCCTCTCCCCAGTCAGGGTAACTGGGCCTTGATGATAATTTAAACCAGCTGGGCCACATGCTCCCTAATGCTCTTCCTTTTCCATTTAGGATTTGCAGTGGCCACAGGCCATTTCACACACCCCAGCTCCCTGGAGATTGTAGGAGGAGCACCACGTGATGCGGATTCTGGAAAGGTATGGGCCTATTCTGGTGTAGCTGGTCCAGTGTCACCACTGTTGTTCACACTGCACTCGGGTATGTCTGAGATTCCACATTCACTAACCAGCAGAGGAGTCATGTCATCAAAGGGGCTTTTTTTGTCAGGGTCTGTTTGTATGCTGTTGAGATATTTGTGGGTTAGTGGCGTTCCTACATCTGGATCCAATTCTAGACAAAAAACGTACATTACAATGCTTTCTAGTTGTGTCCAGTGAATAGGTACAGAGGAACCCTATTATAACGTGCTTCATTATAACGCGGTTCGCTCACAGTGCAATTGGTGGCTGGAGCCTGGCGTTTACTTTCCCAAGCATCCAAACTATGCTAAAAGAAACTCTCAAACTGGTTTGGATACTCTTAAACCTTGTCCAGTTATATTTCAATGCTGGATACAATCTGCAGATCACTCTATATCTAGAACTTGATAATAACTACATAGATTTTTCAGGTTAGATTCAAAGGCTTGTATGTTAACCTGAAACTCAGAACTAGCCCATGATGTTTTCATTCGGCTTCAACTGTCTTCCGTAGGGGTCGAGCACAAATTGGTCACTTATACTAACAAAGTTTGTATTCTGTACTTTATCATTGTAAAAACAGAATGAGGCAGATGATCGCAATAAGGCTGATCGCTCATGTTAGCTATAAGAAACAACTCTTAACAATTGTATCCTCTCCCTGTCTTCAAAATCCTTCTGTGGAGTCCTGAAGCTCAGTGGTTAGAGCACTTTGCAAGCGAGACCCCTGGGTTCAATTCCAGGTAGGGCGAAACCTTGGGCAAGTTTTCTTACTCCACACACCTAATAATAATCCCTCCAAAAACCAAAAATAAATTGATCATTTTCAATCCACGACTGTTGGTGGGACACTGCTGTGTGCAATTGGCTGCTGCGTTTCACCCACAAATATACAGTCAATTCACTTTACAGCATATTCTGTGATGCACTTTGAGACGTCTAGAAGACGTGAAAAGCGCTATATCAAATACAAGGATTATTATTCTGAAAATCTACTCCTTTGACTGTGCCTTCAGTCACCATACACTCTGCTCAAAAGTCTCACACTATCCATGTAAAGCAGTTCAAAACATTCCACCGCATTAAAGATGTTTTATAGCATTTTTCACTGAGGATATGGTCAGGAGGCAACTAGATAAGTTAGGGGTCTCAGCCTTGAAAAGCAACATCTCAGAAAGGACCTCACCAAGGTACGTTTAAGATGATAAATAAAATATATAAAATAAACTTGTATCCCCAGCATGTGTCAGACCCTCACAAAATACATAATCAAATTACGGTGAAGCACTTTGAGCATCTCAATGACATGATAAGACACTATCAAATGTAAGGACTGTTATTACATTATATCACCAGTGCATTAAAATTGAGGTGCTAGTGTCAATACTCAGTGTTAATATTAACTCACTGCGATTAGAGGTGAGCATTCTCCAGTGATAGACTGCTATAGAGTGTTGTAAACTGACAACTCAGGATAACCCTTCTGTTCACTTTCTCAGTTGAGGTTCGGGTGTGTGGCATTGACGAGTATATAAGAGGGAGTGAAATCACAGTATCATATAAAGGGCAGAGTGGTTTGTAAAGTGGGACTCACTCACAAAACTATGTAATGTGAATAGCCATGTCTCAAAGCTGGATCAATTAAAGGCTGAAGAGGAATGCTGTACCCTTCGATCCCACGTGGCATACATGGACTGACAGCTCCCTGAGCAGCTTGCTATGTCATGACAGTGTCTCTCTCTGTTGATGGTTCACAGACCTGCTGCTCTTTTGTCCTTCTGTGTGCTGTTTACTGTCAGCTTGCAATCAATGACATGTTCGCTACAGTAGCCACAGACGAAAGAAAAGTATTGGACACAGTGATGTTTTTCGTCAGAATAGGCAAATGTTGATAATTTTAAAGTCATATAAAACATTAATTATCATTTAATCCAACACTGTACAATGCTCTGAGTTTATTGAGCAGACAGTTTTACTGTTAGAATGATCTGCACCTCTTAGCTTCCTAACATTTCAAGCTAGCTGGTTAGAGCAGGTCTGCTCAATGGTAAGCTGCTGCTTGAAAAAGGATTTGGCAAACCTTTTCCTTTCTGATTTCTGCACACTTGATAAGATGCCATAAATTACACTATTTGTCGTGGCGTCTTGACAAAAGTGACGCACCACTCTTCTGGCTCTCCTCTTCCGTGACCTGCCCCACCCCCAGAAAAAAGAATGACAAACATTTTTCATAAAGACCGTCCTCCAATAACTAATTGGTTTAGTCATTCACTGTCAAACTTGTGGCACTGAGCTTCTGTAATATAACTGGTATCCAGGGCAAATAAACAGTTTATTTTCAGTCTTTACTTGGGTACTGAGTTCATTACTAGAACCAATAAATACATCTAGACAGTAAAAAAGCACTAAGTATTCAGTGCTTCTTTCCTCCCTGGTTTAGACTCTTCATGGTCTTGTGGTCTTGGAAGATGCTGATATAATCTCACAGGCTGATGATGCCTCTTATGCCAATTGACAATTGAATAACATAACATGTAGGAGCAGGAGTAGGCCATTCGGCCCTTCGAGCCTGCCCCGCCACTCAATCATGGCTGATCTTCTAATCTAATTCCAGCTAATAACCTGACCCTGCCTTATCCCCATATCCCTTAATCCCTTTTACAATAAGAAATCTATCTATCTCAGTCTTGAATATGTTCAAGGACTGAGCATCAACAGCCCTTCGAGGTAGTGAGTTCCATACATTCACCACCCTTTGAGTGAAGAAGTTCTTCCTCAACTCAGTGCGAAAGGGCTGGCCTCTGATTTTAAGGTTGTAACCTATCTATGTCTCGCTGCATTTTTAATGTCGTCCTCTGTGTTGACACTTCCTCCTAGTTTTGTGTCATCCGTGAATTTAGATATATTAACTTTGATGTCCTCATCTAGATCGTTGATGTAGATGGTAAATAGCTGAGGCCCAAGGACTGATCCTTGTGGCACTCCACTAGTCACATCCCGCCAATCTGAAAAGGACCTGTTTATCCCTACTCTTTGTTTCCTACCCATTAACCATTCCCCAATCCACGTTAATATGCTCCCCCAATTCCATGGGCCCTTATCTTTTGGACTAACCTTTTATGCGGCACCTTATCGAATGCCTTCTGGAAGTCCAAATAGACCACATCCACTGATTCACCCTTATCTAGTTTACTCGAAATATCCTCAAAAAACTCTATGAGATTTGTCAAACATGACTTCCCTTTTGTAAAGCCGTGTTGACTTGGCCTAATTATATTGTGCTCCCCTAAATACCGCACTACCACATCCTTAATCAATAATTCTAAAATTTTTTCTATCACTGATGTGAGACTAACTGGCCTATAGTTCCCCATCTTTTCCTTTCCACCTTTTTTAAATAGTGGTGTGACATTTGCGATCTTCCAATCCATGGGGACTGTTCCAGAATCCAAGGAATTTTGGAAAATCAGACATAAGGCCTCCACTATCTCATAAGCTACCTCTTTTAAAACCCTGGGATGCAAGCCATCCGGACCAGGGGATTTGTCACTTTTTAGTGCTAACAGTTTCCCTAGCACCAACTCTCTACTAATGAAAATTTCCCTAAGTTGCTCCCTGTCCTTACCTCTTTGGTGCATCTCTATTGTTGGCAGACTTGTGTCTTCTAGGGTGACGACAGATGCAAATTACCCATTTAGGGACTCTGCCATGTCCTTACCCCCCATTACAACTTCTCCTGTCTCTGATTGAAGTGGACCTACACTTATTCCTTTTAATATATTTGTGAAAACTTTTACAATCAGACTTAATGTTCCTAGCTAGCTTGCCCTCATACTCCTTTTTCTTGCTCTTAATGAGTTTTTTAGTTTTTTTTGCTGGTTTCTAAAACTCTCCCAATCTTCAGATTTGCTGCTTTTCTTGGCAGTTTTATAAGCTTTTTCTTTTAATTTGATGCTTTCCCTAACTGCTCTAGTTAGCCACGGATGAATTGCTTTCCCTGTGGTACTCTTATTCCGCAAGGGAATATGCGACCGCTGAGAATTTTGCACTACATCCTTAAATATTTGCCACTGTTGGTCTACATTTTTACCTCTTAATCTTATTCTCCAGTCTATTTTACCTAAATCTTTCCTCATACCTACAAAATTAGCCCTATTTAAGTTCAGAATACTTGCCTCGGATTTAACTATATCCCTCTCTAACTTAATGCAGAATTCAATCATATTGTGATCACTCTGCCCGAGAGGATTCTTAATACCTACACTGCCAACTAGCCCTGTTTCATTACACAAAGCAAGGTCTAGGATGGCCTGTCCCCTAGTTGGTTCCTCGGCATGCTGCTCTAGAAAGTTATCTCTCATACACTCAATGAACTCTTCTTCTGACCTACTTTTGCCGATTTGGTTTTCCCAATCTATGTGGAGATTGAAATCACCCACTATTATCGCTTTACCTTTCCTACATGCTCCACTGATTTCTTGATTGATACCCTGTGCTATATTGTGATCGCTGTTTGGGGGTCTATAAACCACTCCCATTAATATTTTCTGCCCTTTATTATTTTTTATTTCCACCCATGTTGTCTCGACCTCCTGGTCATCAGATTTCAGATCCTTCCTCTCCACTGCTTTTGTATCATCCCTAATTAACAGGGCTACTCCCCCACCTCTCTTCCCACTGTGCCGATCTTTCCTGTAAATTGAGAACCCTGGAATATTTAACTCCCACCCTAGATCTCCTTGTAACCATGTTTCAGTGATGGCTACTAGATCATACCCATGTGTCTACCTGTGCTTTTAATTCATCAGTTTTATTCCGAATGCTTCGCGCATTTAGATATAACATTTATAATTTCCTACCATTTCCTCTACTCTCTGATTCCTTATCTACTTTACCAAGCTTCTTACCCCTAGTTAACATATTCCTATTATCTGGCATGCTATTCAGCAGTGTCATCTTTACTTTTTCTAATGCTAGATCTTGGAGATCTTGTTAAAGGGCAGGGTTCACTAAATACCTCAGTCAAAAGTCCCCTGAGACATGGATTTCCTGCAAATATTGTTTACTTTTCAGATTCTCTTTGGGAGCAGCAATGGTCAAGTAGCACTTAAAGGGGTTACTGTGCTCAGGTATATTCTGAGGGTCAAGCATTATCCTTTTAATATTGATTGATCTGTGCAATACATTGTACAACTGTACCTGTGCTTTATATCGCAGGGTATTAAAGCCTGCTGACGTCTTCTAGTGGCAAAAGAGAAGGAATTGCTGTGTGTAAAATTGTCTGCTGTGTATGCCCACACAATACACAATCACTCCACTTTACAGTAATCCTGTGAAGTGCTTTGAGATGTCTTCCCAATGGGAAAGGCGCTGCACCAAATTTAAGGATTATTATTTTTATTAAAACAGCCAAAATGCCAAACTACTTATAATACAATCTCATTAAAGATAACCTGTTACAAATTTCAATAGATTTTCAGAGTTTTTCTTCTTTCTTCACCCCTCACCCTTCTCTCATGAAGCATTTGACAGTTATTTTCCCTTCTCTGGGGATACAGTTCCTACGTTGGCTGTCTCCCTCCAGTACATTATTCATGTACTGGTCATTGGCGCTGAGTCAAATGAATAGTGGGGAACATTGCAACCAAACCCAATTCAGCCCTCAACTGACACTCACACCTCCACACTCACAACCTCTGCAAAGTGCTTGGAGCAGAAACACTGGCTAACTTTGCCCTTCATCACCTGGGCCACTGTGGCTAGTTTCAGTGCACCATATATTGCTCAGGCCGAGATCAGTTAACTACGCACAGACTGAACACCTACCCTGGGACCTTCCTTATGCCTTAGATACTGGATTCACTTGCTTCACTTGTCACCTCAAGGCTTAATTACGGGAACTCCCTCCTCATCGGCCTTCCCAACTCTTCCCTTCACAAGCTGCAGATCATCCAAAGCTCTGCAGCTTGTGTACTCTCACTTACCAGGCTCCGTGACCCCATCACTCCCACCCTCGCCCGACTCCACTGGCTCCCCATCCCTCAGAGGATCGAGTTCAAGATCCTCGTCATCACCTTTAAGGCTTTGCCCCCTCCTACCTCTCTGACCTGCTGACTCCCTACCAACCTGCCTGCTCCCTCCGTTCAGCGGGCTCGGGCTGCTCCATGTCTCCCGCCCGACCAGCCCTACCATTGGTGGCCGGGCTTTCAGCCTCTCTGCCCCCACGCTCTGGAACTCCATCCCACGGTCCCTTCACCTCGCTTCCTCCCTTGCATCCTTCACGGCCGGTCTCAAGACCCTTCTCTTCGACCGTGCCTTTGGTCTCCCTCCCACCTCTCTGCCTTCCCTCACCCCTACACCACCCATCCCCTTTGCTCGGGCCCCGACATCTGACTGTTCAGCGCTTTGGGAGGTCCTCCTGACATAAAAGGCGCTCTATAAATGTAATTTTGTTGCTGCTGTTGTTAGGAATTGCAATTGGGAACAGAATTTCTCCCAGTATTCTGGCCAGCAATTCCCAAGATAATATTGATCATTCATTTTTGTTTCTGGGACACTATTGTACACAAATTAGCTGCTGCATTTGTCTATAAAGTATAATCTTTACACTACAGTAAATTCTGTGCTATTTTATTAGTTATTTCCTGTAGGACCAGTGTTTTGCAAATCCAGGTTGTGACTCCGGCATTATTGATTCCATTATCAGCATATTAAATGCAAGGATTATTATTATCATTTTTGGGCCACAAAATAAGTTGCACTGAGCCTTGGTTTCTCATGCACTCTTTTTTGGTCAACCAAGTGTCTGAGACATGCGGAAACCCAACATTGTGCTTAAGAGTATCCAAACCAAACTGAGAGTTCCACCTATGTACATGCACAGTGTGTACAAGTTCACTAAATTCTGTAGACCTTAATTCACCTTGTGGTGAAATCAAACCAAGAGTATCATGATTTCATTGTGAACTAACACCTTCTGTTTTGTACTTTTCCAGGTTTATATATTTAAGATCGACCAAGACAAATTAACGGCGATTCGCATCATTCCAGGGAAAAAGGTCAGTTTGACAAGACGAATTGTAGTCTAGAATCTGCAAGCTTTTTGCATGTTCCTCGGCAATTTGTTACAGATCAAGAGACCTGGTGGTACAATATTCTTCCAGGTCTTTGATGGTGTTATATACTGTCTATGTTGCCTTAATTATGTTATCCGTTCACCATATGTCATATAATAATAATAATCCTTGCATTTAGCACCTTATCATATATCACGACTCCTCAAAGCGCTTCACAGACTATACTATAAGTGAATTGACTGTATTTTTGTGGGCAACATGTGGAAGCCAATTGCACCCGGCAGGATCCCACAAACAGTCGTGGTTTGAAGTGACCAATTTATTTTTTCTGAAGGAATTATTAAATTCGGAAAAGCGATCCACCAATTGAGTAACATCTGGGTTCCTAATTACTGCTAGATAAACAGAGGTGTGCGGAGTAAGGAAACTTGCCCAACCTTTCACTCTCCTGGAAATTGAACCCAGGTCCTCTCGCTTGTGAGGCGAGTGCTCTAACCATTGAGCTACAGGACTCCATATATTCCTGGGTGCGAACACTGAACAATATTGAGGGAGGGCTCTGTGTTCTATAGGTGGATCGTGACTGATATCGATTGAGAAGATTGCAGCGATTTATCCCATAGGTGTGTATTAAGTTAAATATTCCAGTTTTAGCTCTTGCAACAATGCATCAATCTTTTTTCTCAAGTAAAGACAGAAGGGTTCCTAGGGTTCCACCATTGTCCTAGCACAAGGTCTCTGTGAAGACCCATAATAATAATAATAATCCTTGCATTTGATATTGTGTCTGATCACGTCTTCGAGACGTCTCAAAGTTGTAAAGCAGGGGGTTACAGGGCAGATAGAAACAGGAGTAGGCTATTCAGCCCCTTAAGCCTGCTTCCGCCATTCTATAAGATCATGACTGATCTGTATCTCAGCTCCAATTACCCGCCCTTGCCCCATATCCCTTGATACCCTGACTTCACAAATATCTATCCACCTCAGTCTTGAAAATTTAAATGGATCCACAGCACTTTGGGGAAAAGAGTTCCCGATTTCTACTACCCTTTGGGTGAAAAACTGTCTCCTGATTTCACTCCCAAATGGCCTTGCTCTAATTTTAAGATTATGCCCCCTTGTTCTGGATTCCCCACCAGAGGAAATAGTTTCTCTGTATCTCCCCTATCAAATCCCTTTATTATTTTAAAAATCTTAATTAGATCACCCCTTAAACTTCTAAACTCAAGGGAATAGAGACCAAGATTATGCAAACTGTCCTCATAATTTAATCCTTTTAGCTCTGGTATCAAAACTGAACGCTGTACTCCAGATGGGGTCTGACCAAGGCTCTATATAGTTGAAGCATCATTTCCTCTCATTTATATTCCAGCCCTCTTGAGATAAAGGCCAACATCCCATCAGCCTTTTTGATAATGTCTGAAGTGAAAGGCATATATAAATGCGATGTGTTGTTGTCAGATGAGGATAATTATGTTTCTTCATCTGAGGATCACATGCAGATGATTGCTGAACCTCAGATCTAACATTACTTTTCCATGTAATCTCTCAATTTTATTTCCTCACCTGCCTTGGCTTTGCTTTCTTGAGCTACTATCTTCCACCCTCCACCACCTCCTGATTCCAACCCCCAGTTCAGGTGTAAACCCTTCACTGTCCAGGGCCTTGGGACATTCTCCTGACATGAAAGATGCTCTATAAATGCAATTTGTTGTTCTTGAACCCAACGGCAGGTATAAAAAGGTACAAATCTAAAACCAGTTGCTGTCCATTGGATGATGGTTTGTGCCTGCATCATTTTAGCCAAAACTTTCCATAATGAAAAGTGGGATCTCTTGAAGCTGAACACTATGCTGAAATGTGTAAAGTCTGGTCTTATATGGAAGAGTGGATTGATACATGGAATTGATAGTGAATTCTGTGTGTATTTAGTACTAAATGTTGTGTGTTACTGCTGCGTTTCAGATGGGCTCTTACTTTGGATCATCATTGTGTGCGGTTGATTTGAACTCCGATGGCTATACTGATCTTCTGGTTGGAGCCCCCATGTTCACGAAAATAAGAGATGAAGGCCAGGTGACTGTGTTCATCAACAGGGGTAATGTAAGTAAAATCTTTCAAATCAACAGTAACTACAACAACAGCAACAACAAATTGCATTTATATATTGCCTTTCACTTCGGGAGGACGTCCCAAGGCCCTAAAGCTGGTCTTCCACTTTACCATGAGGGATAAAGTTTATAAGGCATCGGTCGTAAGGACATAAAACAGTCACTTGCTTAAAGTTTGTGGGGAGGGGTGGGGGTGGTGGTGGTGGGGTGTGTGTGCGCGGGTGTGCGTGCATGCAAATACATTCATTGTTAGAATTATTGGTTAGTGAATGTGACCCAAACCCTATCTGACTATCAGCCAGTTAGTTTAGGGAATGGACATCAACCTAACATTGGTTTGGTCTGAAGCCTTTTTTCAAAACTGTTAATTTGGGGATTGCACGTGCCAGTCACTGCTTCTAAATTAAGACTTCAGAATTATTTCTGACACGCTGTACAGCCTTAGAATTTTAAGCCGATTGTTTTAAAGCTGAAACCACGTGTGTTTTGAGGTCTCAGAGGTCAAGCATACGATGAGATATTGTACCAGGCATCCTGTGTAAACTGACTTCGCGTTGTAGAAGAGGTGCGTCGTTAGTGCTGCTGCACTGTGACACGGAACCTGTGTAACAAGACATCTTGGTTGCATTAAGCTGCATTAATTAATTAAAACATCAGGAAATGGTTGCCCACTCTATATTACACTCTGTGAAAAATGCTTGCGTTGTTACAAAGATGCCCCCCGTTACTAAACGCCAGACTGCATTGGGGATGACGCGTAGCCAAAGGGCAAGAGTCTGCAAACTAATGAAGCGCTGGCTGTGCTTTCTACCCGCTTTTCTGTCAGCTTGTGCGTGCATGGTTTTTCACTCCCTACTTTCAACAACGCCTCATTGCACTCTTGGGGTATTGGTGGATCGCTTTTCCAGGGGTAATAATCCCTTCAAAATAATAATAATAATAATTTGTTAATAATTAATAATTTGGTCACTCAATCCAAGACTGTTTGTGGGACACTGCTGTGCGCAATTGGCTGCCGTGTTTCTCTCACAAAATATATTAACTTTTAGTCTATTAACTTTGCACTATATTCTGTGAAGCGATTTGAGATGTCTTGAAGATGTTATAAGGTGCAATATCAAATACAAGGGTTATTATTGTCATGGGCCCGCATACTTCTTATCAACTCAGAGGCAGCATCGAGTCCTGCTGAGTTGAGTTAAGCAGGTGTCCTATTTTTAGCTGCACAAAAATGGCAGTTCTGTGTGATCAGAGGCGCAAATAAAACATAGAAACTTTCAGACCACACCATTATACTGCTGTGATTTTCGAGAATTGAAGAAACACCCTGAAATCCTAATTCTGTCAAGTTTTTTTAACTCCCTTTTTAGACCTAGAAAATATTTGAGTCTGCAATATTGAATTACAGTGAGTGGAAGATGCTGTTTGACAGATTTTGTATCACTTGTGTCTGTTTCCTTTTGTGTTAATGTTAAAGAAATACTCATGAACAGCCTCAATTGTTCTCTAGTGTCTTAACTGACGTCCTCTCAACGTGGAACGTGCTAAATAAATGCAATTTGTTGTTTGTTGTTGCTGTTAATTAAGTTAAGGAACACATGAAGTAATACCATAAATTTTACCCTTATTTTCCAAGAATATTCTATGAGGATTGACTGTGTTATACTGTAAAGTTGATTTATTTGGGCAGCATTGGTTATCAAAGCTGTACATTGACAATGGCTGCCTGGCCAAGAACTGCGAAGCCTGTGCTCCAGCAAGACTGTTGCCTTCATCATAAAATTCATAGAATGCATAAAACAACAACAACAAATTACATTTGTATAGCACCTTTCACATCGGAGAACGTCCCAAGATGATGATTATAAAAGTTAGTAGATTTTGTGGTCCATCAATATGGTTTTGAGTGTAAATTAATCTTACAGCGCTCTGGGACGCAACCTTGCATGAAGGGCGCTGTATAAATGCAAGTTGCTGTTGTTGTCTTGAATGTAGGCCTCTCTCCCAATCTCACAAATAAATAGAAGCTGAATCGTCAGCTGTAGCTGATATAAGTAAGCTTGGTACATCAGTGGAGAATCGCTGCAATTAGATGACCCTTTTGTTGGCCACAGCAAATGTGAAATTCGGTTTACTCAAAAGGAGCAGTAAAGTTTAAGAAATTCTTCATAGTATATCAGCACCATAGCTTGACTAGCTCAAATCCATTGGTCATGGGAACCGCCTTCTTCAATACAACCAGTTAATGTTGTGACTTTCATGGCGAACATTAGTCTGGAGTCTTCCTGAGCAGAGAGCGGGTCCCAAAACCAAAATGAGCAGAGCAACAGCTAGCAGAGAACCTGAAATGAGCAGGGCAACACATAGCACTAGACGTGTGAATCAGAGTTCACCATCTTCTTAGCACATCTTATTTCCTGCTTTCAGGCAGTGTTGGAGGAAAAGCAGCTTCTGCTGGGTGATAGCCTGTACAATGCTCACTTTGGAGAGAGCATCGCATCGCTGGGGGATATTGACGACGACGGATTCCCAGGTCAGTGTTTCTGTGCCTACTGCAAGTCACGATTTTTGCTACGTTTTAAAAAAAAATAAATAAATGAAGTTTCCCTCCCGTTTTGAACACACAGTTATTGTTCACCTCCTCCCTGCTTTGCAGTAAAGATCTGAATTTGTAATGAAACATCAGCGGTAATACCAATTGGAAAATTCAGATTGTTATATACAACAACAAAATTACATTTGTATAGTGCCTTTCATATCGGGAGGACGTGCCAAGGTGCTGGACAGACAGTTACGGACCCGAGCTGGGGGTCGGGGGGGAAGCAGGGAAATCGAAAGCACGGTCTAAGAGGAGAGTCTTGAGGTGGGTCTCGAAGGTGGCGAGGGAGGGGGTGAGATGGAGGGACTGTGGGATGGAGTTCCAGAGGGTTGGAGCAGAGTGGCGGATGGCCTCCTGCTGATAGTGGGGCGAGCAAGGTGGGGGACGTGAAGCAGACCAGAGCCCGCTGAGCGCAGGGAGCGAATGGTGGTAGGGGGTTAGGAGGTCAGAGAGGTAGGAGGGAGCAAGGCCGTGGAGGGCTTTGAAGGTGAGGACCAGGATCATGAACTGTATCTTCTGTGATGGGAAGCCAGTGGAGTTGGGCGGGGATAGGGGTGAAAGGGTCGCAGAGCCTGGTGTGGGAGAGGACACGGGCTGCAGAGTTCTGGATGACCTGCAACCTATGGAGGGAGAAGTTGGGGAGACAGACAAGCAGTGAGTTTGCATAGTCGAGCCTCGATGTAATGAAGGCATGTACGAGGGTTTCGGCGGTCTGTGGTGTGAGACAGTGGAGGAGCCAGGCGACGTTGCGGAGCTGGGGGAAGGCAGAGTGGGTCATGGAGCAGATGTGGGGTATAAAGGATAGTTGAGAGTCAAACAAGATTTCAAGGTTCTGGACTGGCTTAGCAAGGTGGAGTGTGCATCAGTGGATGGTGATGCTGTCAGCACCTGAGGTGAGGAGTTGCTGACCTGAGCCAATCGTCAGAAGGGTTGTGGACCCAAAACTTTGACTCACTTTCCTTTCTCCTCTGATGCTGCCTGACCTGCTGAGTTTTCCCAGCTCTATCTGTTTTTGTTTCAGGTTTCCAGCATCTGCAGTATTTTGTGTTTTGTTTGTATTTATAGGATATTGTCTCAAAGTACTTCTCAGACTGATTGCACACACAGGCCAATTGTTCGATTTAATGAAGTTCGAACAATCCCGACATTACTCGTTGTTTATTGACAAGTAAACTCTGAACTGTTCCAAAAATTTTATAAGAAGTAGTGCGTCTTTAAATCATACTCTCCCTTACTTCCCAGTGCTTTTCCTTGGGGGTCTCCTGAGATCGGGAACTCTCTGTGTAAGGATTTAGTGAGAACATGCTTCTATGTGTTGCAGAATGAATGAGCTGCTGTATCACATCCCATCGTTCAGCATATAATAAACCTGAATAGGATCAAATTGATTTCAATCCAATTGTAAACCGGGTGCGTGAGGCAACTGTGGTGGGAACGTTCACAGTATGTTTCAGAGATAATTGGTGAATGCTAACCTAAATCAGAAACTAAGAACCTGGAGTTATAAAGTAAGAGACCGCCGAGTGCAAGTGCATTTTGTGTGAATGGTTTGCATGCATTGAACTCTAAAGTCTTTTAGAATTGCCCCTTGCTATTAAATGATGTAGAGCTTTTTTTTTCCAGATGTTGCAATTGGAGCACCCAATGAGAATGACTACGTCGGAGCTGTTTACATCTACCATGGTGATGCCGACGGAATAGTCTCCACATATTCAATGGTAACTCTTTCACTAGTTTAATTGAATCGGGCGAGGGCACCCAAATGCTGTTTAATGGCACCGTACTTTTGCATCTCATAACAAGTGTATTTTGAGTCTTTTTAACAGAGAAAAAAATGATTGAGTTGAATCGGAGTCAATGATGATTGGTATAAACATCCATAAAGATTGAATCCTGCAGATGCACAGAAATAACCTCGTCTCGGACATTCAGCTAATTTCTGACTTTCATGAAGTCACATTGTGGCCAAAGGAGCTCGGCAGTGAGATGCATCTGAGCATGTGTAGGATTCGTTCATTACAATTCCTATTGCCAGTCTAACACTGTATGCTAGATCGACTCCTTAGATTGCACACTGTCTGTTGACTGTGACATAAACACTTGTGATAAGGCGCATGACCGTTGAGTGTGGTTTGCTGCTGTCTGAGATGAACTTTACTGCATGAATTGATAGCTAAAAATTGTAATATATGACGGTTAAAAATGAGGCCAGTCATTGTCTTAATTTATTAACTTGTCCTCAAAATAACCTTGCTTTCTCCCCTCTCCTTCCCCTGCCTCACAAGTGGCTGAATTCAGATATTGGCCTTTTCCAATAATATGTTAACACTGGTGGTAATTAACACCTTGTAGGCCACAATTTGCATCACAAGAATGATAATGAGCCAAGTTTATCTTCAAGCAGACTTGGGAATTAATGGTGGAACTTATATTTGGTGAAATAGCACATTTCGATGACTACAATGCAGCCTTGTTAGAATGCAATGTGTGGGAACCATAAAATCCCGACCTGTGTTATTGCGAGGCATGATGGTGGCTATGACAAAATGTGCATCCAACTAACTTGTAGGGACAACTGGTTCCTGTGCAAAAAGAAAAATTGGTTGACATCTGAGTCATTGGGCACCAAAATCTCACTTCCTATTTGTACAGTGACTTGATGACCCGGAAGTTGGCCATTTTTAAATGTCCGTAGCTAAAATGATTGATTTACAGGTCATTGTTGTTTTCTTTGTAAACACATATATAAAAGCAGGTGTAGCCAGAATTCCAGAAAGATCCTGGAACATTTAGTATAAAAGGCCTAACAGTGATAGATGAGGTGGAGACTGATGGACTTGTGTGCTACTTTCCATAATTCAATAAACTACAACTTCCTTGAAAGATCACCTGCCTCTGACTCCATGTATCACATGGTGTCAGAAGTTTTGAACTATAAGAAAAGTGAAGACTACAACGTGTGGGTAGAACTGAAAAAACAAAAAATGAGTTTGGTGATTTATACCATATGAACAGAGAGTAGCAATAACAACAATGACAACAACAACAAATTACACTTGTGTAGTGCCTTTCAAGTCAGGAGGACGTCCCAAGGCGCTGGACATTCAGGGATCTGCACCCGAGTTGGTGGTTGGGATCAGGAGGGGTGGAGGACGGAGAGGGTAGAGGTAGGAAAGCAGATCAGCCTCCCTGGTTGCTTGGTGCACTGAGAGCAATTGGGGTATAATGAGCATTGATGTGGTACACTTCACCTATGAAAACTGGAGGATACTTAAAGACAGCTACCAGACTGTCTGAAGAGCAGAGTCAGTCGCTACCTATTATCATGGCAAGTTATCATTGTAGTTGGAGAACCATTGTCATAGTTGAACATTTAAAATTTGAGGCCAGAAGGCAAAGAAACGTTCATGCAACATGATAACATTTTGCTAAAGATCAGCAAAACAGGCGAGTAATGATGAGTTCCGAGATCAGTTTGATCAGAGACAGATTAATTCTGGGTATCAGAGATAATAGGTTAACAAATAAATTGCTGAGAGAGGTCAGTTTAACTCTGGATCAGGTGATAGAATTAGTGCAAGAAGAGGAACTCTCGAGATACAATCTCCAGGAACTTTATGTGACAGACGAGGAGACAATGGAAATAGATCAGGTACAGAGAAGATATCAGCCGGCAAGGCAGATAGACTATAAAAGGAGCATATAGAAAAACCCAGCAGACAAATGCATAAACTGTGGCTTTACACACAGAAAAACATGGTGCCCAGCTGAAGGGAAAGAATGTTACACATGCAACCATATTGCAAGAGTAAGCAATCAGGAGGTGAAGGAAACCGAGGAAACAAATTCCCCAGTTACAACAGAGCATAGGACAAAACCTAGAAGCGAGGCAAATGGGGTAGTTTGGAGCAGAAACCAGGTATAATTAGTGACCAAGGAGCAGGATTTCAGCTCAGCCAGCCCAGGCTGCGACATATAAACAGACGACATTGGAGCATCAGTAGATTTACACAGCTACAAGCAAGTGCATTGGAGTCAAAGATAAGAGCCCAGTCTGAACTGAGCCCCTGTGGATGATTGATAGAAAACAATATCTCAACTGTAAATTTGACACAGGAGCCCAGGTCAATCTCATATCGAATGTGACATACAAGCAACTCAGAGAAACCCGCGAAACATACTGAACACCCACTGTGAGAAATTAACCACATTTAATGGACAAAACATAAATATGCTCGACACAGTAATCTTAAGTGCCAGGAGGAAAAGTAAGACATACCACATTTGTGAATGTGGAAAGCAGAAACCATTTTAGGATTATCCCTAATACAGCAGATGAGAATGTAAAAAAGCATGAAGTCAAAGACCAGCTGGACCAAGTAAAAGAAGGTGCCATCGCAATGGCTGAACTGACTTGTAGAGCGCCAGAAACAAGAAAAAGAAGCTAAAAGAGACCTTGGACCACCTGGAAAAACAGATAATAAAAAAAAGTTAACAAGCAAAGGATTAGGTCAGCTCAATAGTGATTGTGGAGAAGCCAGCCAAATCCATGAGTATTTATTTGGATCGCAAAGATTTTGATATGCACAAATAGGGAAGGAATGTCTCATGGTTGTGCACTAGTGTGAAAAGTTACCAGTATATTTTTGGAGAGGCAGTGGAGTTGAGCCTAGCTCCATAGTGAGTGGTAGCACTCTCGCCTCTGAGTCAGCAGGTCGTGAGTTCAAGTCCCACGTCAGGACTTGGAATCACACAGTCTAAGATGACACTTCAGTGCAGTGCTGGGGTGTGTTCCATTATTGGAGGTGCTGTTCTTAGGATGAGAGGTTAAACTAATATCCCGCCTGCCTATTCAGGTGGATGTTAAAGATCCCGTGGCGCTATTTTAAAAGAGAAAGGAGTTTCTCCCGGTGTCCTGGCCAACAATCCCCAAATACAATTGGTCATTTGTTTCATGATTACTTGTGGGACGTTGCTGTGTGCTGCTACATTTTGTCCACAAAACACACAGTCAAAACCACTTTACAGAATTTTATGCGAAGTGCTTTGTGATGTTTTGTTGACATGATAAGCTGGGTTTATCATAGTTTATTGTGGAAATTGTTGCCCCAAATTGTGGGAGTATTAGAAAAAAATTGTGGAAAATTGCAGGGAGGTTGATTGGTACTATTAAGAGGTATATTTTACTGCTAACCTACATTTTTTCACTTTATTGATAAAGACTAAACATGAAGAAATATCACATATTGGGGGGGGCCCTAGCACAAGCCCAAAGGGCCGAATGGTCCGTTTCCATTCCACACTACATTTGAAGGCCACTGTCCTGAGATCACTACCTCCTGCCTCTCGGGACCCACACACACTCACAGATACAGAGATAAACACATATACTCACATACAGAGACATACAAACGCTCACAGACAGAGAGACACACACACTTACACAAAGAGAGAGATACACACACACACACTCACAGAGAAAGATACACACACACTCACAGAAAGATCCACACACACACTCAGAGAGAGAGAGATACACACACTCACAGAGAGAGAAAGATACACACACACACACACACTCACAGAGAATGATACACACACACTCACAGAGAAAGATACACACACACTCAGAGATACACACACTCACTCACACAGAGAGAGAGAGATACACACACTCACTCACACAGAGAGAGAGAGATACACACACTCACTCACACAGAGAGCGATACACACACTCACAGAGAGAGAAAGATACACACACACACTCAGTGAGAGAGAGAGATACACACACTCACTCACAGAGAAAGATACACAGCTGGCAGCAACGCGCACAGGCCTGGTGCCCAAAGCTCACTCTGTTTTTACTGGTATGTAGTGGAGGGGTGTGTGTGTAGTGAAGGGGTGTGTGTGTAGCGGAGGGTGGTGTGTGTAGCGGAGGGTGGTGTGTGTAGCGGAGGGTGGTGTGTGTAGCGAAGGGTGGTCTGTGTAGCAGAGGGTGGTGTGTGTAGTGGAGGGGTGTGTATAGCGGAGGGTGGTGTGTAGTGGAAGGAATGTGTAGTGTAGAGTGGTGTGTGTGCAGTGGAGAGTGGTGTGTGTGTAATGGAGGGTGTTGTGTGTAGTGGAGGGTGTTGTGTGTTGTGGAGGGGTATGTGTGGTGGAGTGGGTTGTTTGTCACGGATTCCCCTGAGAAATTGCAGCTGCACTTTTCTATTGACGCAGTTGATAAGGCATTATATCGAATGCAAGGATTATTACACAATGTTTGGACACATGGTCAACATCATTGTACTTCCTAGTATCTCAATTTTAAGACACATGTTCAAAATCAATGTACTTGTCCACATCTCAATGTTAGCACACACAGTCAACATCCTGCTCCTACTGCAATGTTAGGACACATGGTCAATATCAATTTACTTAACCACATTCTCAATATTAGCACACAGATCGTCAGCATTAATGTTCTTACTTATATCTCAATATTAGCTCACTGTCAAAATTACGGTACTTCTGATATCTCAATGTTAGGACACATGGACAATATCACTATACTTTTACCCATATCTCAATGTTAGCATACATGGTCATTATCATTGCACTTGCCCATACGAGGAGTTACATTGCACAGGCTCCCATGAAGAATTTCTTGCATTGAGCACTTTGGAAAGGATGCTGCTGATTTTGAGCCTCTGGCATATTGTTTATGCACAATAACTTG